AGGTAAATGGTGCACCAAAGTTCCTAAATACCAAAAATTTGGCACAGCGTACTGAATTCAGCTTAGAATGATGTGTGCTATGTTTTGTGAAAATCGGTTCAGATTTAGATATAGCCCTATATATATTTCGTCCGATTTAATGTAAATGGTGCGCCAAGGTCCGAATATTTTTTTTTTTTCGATTTGCACGAAGTTTGGCATAGCGTACTGAATTGTGTCTACGATGATGTGTGCTATGTTTAGTGAGGATCCGTTCAAATTCAGATATAGCTCCCATATATATTCGTCTGACCGGGTGTCTGATTGAAAAAAAAAATAATAATTTGTAACAGTGCGGCGTACCGAATAGCGTGTATCAATTTTGCTATAAATCGTTTTTCATAAATTTGTCCCATTGTACGCAGACGACTGTAAATCTGCCCGGATGAATTTAAATTTATCATAGGTTGCAGAGCATGAGTATGTTCGTTCGAGGGAACATTGACATACAATTGTAAGGATACATATGTACAAGGGTATCATATAGTCGGCCCAGTTCGACTTTACTACTTTCCTTACTGGTTTTTATATGAACTATAGGACTTTATTTCACATGCTTCGGGATGTCCGATATGCATTGTTTTGTTGTATGATTCGTTGCTATTTTAAAGGTAACTTCATAACGCCTCTCTCATAGAAGTCCTGCTCTCCATTTGGAAAAAAAACTCCAGGAGTCGATTTTCACAATCCTCTCTAGATACCAATTTTTTATGCAAGAAAAATATGAAAAAGATGTGTGTGTCCTAGCGTTGTCCTGGAGGAACACGACACCTCTCCTGTTGGCCAATTCTGTTCAATTTCTATCTTCAAACGGTCCAGTTGTTGACAGTATAGATAAGAATTAAGCGTTTGGCCATACAGAAGCATTACATAATAAATAATCCCCTTCCAGTCGCACCAAATGCATAGCAGAACCTTACTGGCCGTTAGTCCTGGTTGGGCCACGATCCACGTCCTGGTTTGAACACGATCGTTTTCGCACACGGTTATCGTATGTGATCCATTTCTCATCTCCAGTCACCATCCGTTTAAGAAATGGGTCTATCTCATTCCGTTTGGCCAATGCTTCGCAGATGGAAATTCGATCCATCCTATTTTTTCTGTTAATTGGTGTGGCCACCAAACATCGAGCTTCATTTTAAATCCAGCTGTGTGTAAATGGTTTAAAACAATTTTATGATCGATTTTTAGCTCCTGGGCGATGTTACGACTGCTATCATGCCGGTCAACTTCGATCATTTCTCCAATTTTGTAACGCCCCGAAATAGATCCAGCTTCGATTGTCATATCTTCATCAGCTGAGTCGATCTGCCTATACGAGTTATCTGTTCGTCCACCCTAATTGTGAACCAATCGTCACGAAATTTTGATTGTGGACCAAAAACGTTTTTTTTTTTTTAAGTCGCTCGATTCGATTATCATGAAATTTTACACGTGCAATGATCGGTTTTTTGATTTCAGGTTGATTTTTTGTGTTTTTAGATGTAATTTTTTCCGCAAATATTTTAGTCCGATTTTATATAACTGTCAGATTTTTACGTATTAAAATTAAAGTTTGCCTAGCATTCTGTTCTGTTCATCAACATTTAACTTCTTAAAACCATACATTTTCCAATAATTTATTTTCCTATGAATAAATTAACGAAAAAAATTATAATAGATAAAGACCCTTCTATGAACTTTTCTTGCAATTTTAATTTGCCAACAATTATCATAAATTGTTTCCAGGAAAATGTACTACTACAATCGCGTTATTTGTATTATGGACGGCAGACACATTTTTCCAAGTGTTATTTCCCTTCGATTTTATTTCAAAATAATCAGACGCCGCCGCCGCTACCTTTTTGGTATAATGGACTCTCAAAGAACACTTAATTTTCATAACTTACACCAAACTTTTGTGATTAGTTAAATACAGTTGATAAAATATGTATGAATATGTGTGTGTTTGTATGATATGAGGTAGATACCTTCAATTCCGTCGAAAGGTTGAATGGTTGGCTGCCACAACGGAAAACGTCAATTAGTTGACGGCAATATGTTTAGATGATAGTGGCATATGAACAACCCCCGCCCTAGCACCCTTGTGGTTGTGGTGGTAGTCGTCCTTTTCGACTATTCAGAAAATAACACTTTATTATTGTTATTTCTTAACAGCAACACCACCGTCCTGTGTTGAGCCAAAGGTAAGCAGCAGACCAGACACATGGCTGTTTACCTTCCTTTTATCCTTTGGATGGTCTAAGGTGCTTGCCTCATGTCGTAACGTGTCTATCCTTTATTTTTATATTTGTTAATACATATTTATAGCTATCAATTTTCTGGCCATTTATATATGCATATGTTGTGGTCATACCTACGCCTACCAATAGCGTTTTTAGTCCTCCATAAAAATTGGTTATTAGCCTTCGTTTAGGGGTGGGGTGCTATTATTAACGTAATTATCTTTTACGCCATACCTTAAAACCAGCAGCAAATTGCTGCTCTCTCCCTCTTACTAGAAGACAAATTGAAGCTATTTATTTTCTGGCAGGGAATTTTCTCAATTTTTTGGGCCAACGAAGAAAACTTTATTACAAATTAGTAATGGGTTTTAGTTCTCTTTTCTTGTTTTCTGGGCAATTTGTTATTGGCGTTACGTATCAGAGAAGGCAATCTGTTAAGTGGCCGCCTGACCGTATGTTCCAAAAATGATTTCTTCTGTCAGTTTGTGGTCTACATTTCTTTTGGCACATGTCTGCTAATTAATATGGGAAATATTATTTAATTATCTAAATTGATTTTAGTAGTTTGATTTCATATAATTGATATTTCGAGTAATAATAAATGACAACAAAAAAGTTCATTAGGTTGTTGATCAATTTCTGTGGAAATATAATTTTAGACAGATGATAATTAACCTAATATTATTTCGGGATTATTTTTGCCAATATTTTATCACAAGTTTGCTAAATATAAAAATAAGATAATAAACAGTAAGGAAAGTAGTAAAGTCGGACTGAGCCGACTAAATGACACTCTTCACCACTTTTTGTATATTCTGCATAGTCTCCTAACAGACGTCGCTTTTTCGAAAGAATATTGACATGAAATTGAACAAAAGATAAATAAGAAATTTTCTACTACATCGGACGAATATATATGGGAACTATATCTAAATCTGAACCGATTTCTATGAAACTTAGCACACATCATTCTAGACTTAATTTAGAACGCTATGCCAAATTTCGTGCAAATCGAAGGATATGTAGGAACTTTGGCGCACCATATACCTTAAATCGGACGAAAATATATATGGGAGCTATATCTAAATCTGGACCGATTTTCCCGAAACTCACCACTCATCATTATGGACTCAATTCAGTACGCTGTAATAAATTTCGTGCAGATCGAAAGCTATATAGGGACTTTGGTGCACTATTTACAATAAGGGAACCCCACCCATTCCCGATTTTAATTTTTCAAGATTTTCAATGGGCTGGTAAATCAATACCAATGCTTGTTAAGGTTTGTAACTTTGCAAATATATATTTAAAGATTTAAAAGAGAAGAAAAATAATTTACAAAAAATTTTTGTTTTTGTTTTGTTGTTGTTTTTTTTTTGTAATTAAAGATGGCGGGCATGATAACTCCTCACTAGGACATCGGAATTCGAAAATTCTAACGATGTTAGAAAGAGTACATGTCTGGCTCTCGTATGAACTAGGATTATTGACTTCGCTCTAAATTTAACAAAATGGCGGACCTTTGCGAAATATTTTTGGAAAATCGCCGATTTTTTACCAAAAACCTAGTTAAAAAATAAGGAAGATCTAGTTCATACGATAGCTATACACTTACAGAGAAACGTGTAAGAATTTGGAATCGATTGGGTTATTAGTTTTTGAGTTATCGTGCACGCCATTCGCAAAAGCGAAAAACGTGTTTAAAGTTTGAGAACCCCTTTAGCCGTCACTTGATGCTGACACAATAAATCGGCTATATTGTCAGGAATGTTGACCCCGAGAATAAAGGGGTCCCCTTAAATCAGACAAAAATATATATGGGAGCTGTATTTGAATCTGAACTGATTTTTACGAAATTTAACACACGTCTTTCTAGACTCAATGCAGTAAGCTATGCCAAATTTTGTGCGAATCGAAGGATATATAGGGTCTTTGGTGCAAAATTTAAATAAAATCTGACAAAACTATATGTGGGAGCTATATCTAAATCTAAACCGATTTTCACTAAACATAGCACACATCGTTCTGCGCTCTACCGAATTTCGTGGAAATCGAATGATATATAGGTATTTTGGTGCACCGTTTACATAAAATCGGACGAAAATATATGTATATGGCAGCTATATCTAAATCTGAACCGATTTTTCCCAATTTCAATAGGGTTCGTCCTTGGGTCAAATAAATAAGCTGTCCCAATTTTCATTCAATTCGAATCAAAAATGCGACATGTACTTTGTTTACAAGTTTACATGGACAGACAGACGGACGGACATGCATAAATCGACTTAGAAAGTGATTCTATGCGTATTCTCAAAAGGAAACATGTGTCTATCTCGTTTCCTTTTGCCTGTTACAAACATATGCACAAAGACATAATAGCCTGTACCACAGTGTGGTCTTCTTTCTATAGGAAAATTTTTCAGACTCTTTGGGTCCCATTTTTTTCTATAGAAAAAAAAAAATCGCAGACCCTTGTGGTGTTACTTTTATAGAAAAAACTCGATGGTCCTTGTGGTTTTATTTTCTTTACTTTAGACAAAAATCAGGGTCTTATTTCCTATAAAACAAAATTTCCAGACCCGCAGGTTCCTATTCAGATTCCTATTCATTATAAAAACATATCAAAAAATCTTCGGGTTCTATTGTTTATTATTTTCCTATATTTTTATTTGTTCCTATTTTTGATTTTATTTCATATTTTAAATAAACATTTTATTTTGCTTTCAATCATTACAGCACTCTGCAACCACACGACGACAACAGCAACATGTTGCTGTGAAAAATGTTGACAATCAACATATTGTGAATACATTGAACAATAACAACAATAATAATAATAACATTGTCAGCTGTTCCATAACCTCAATTGACGAGAGCACAGAACCTGCAGTACAAGAAAAACTACAAAAACAACTACAACAACAAAGTGATAATGAAGCTGACGCCACTTCAATGGTGAGTCATCGCACAAATCAGCTGTGTGCCAGCGACGACGAACACGATCAAAACACAGGCGAAGCAAAAACAGCGACAACTACTACGAAGAGCATATCACAACAAACCGATGGTGAACTGCTACTACTGGAAGAGCAAGAGCAAACGGAAAATAAACAAAACAATAATTTTATTTTCAATTCAATGCAGCAGCGACCCCACCACCATCAACAACAACAACAAATGTATGACTGCAACGAAGTCGACGACGAATTTTACGATCAAAGTATAGAGTGTGATAAAATGAACCCCATGGAAATGAATGGCTACAGAGAACCGAGAGAGTTCATGTATTCCGTATATTGTCACACAAGCCTTCCGACAGCACCAATGTGGAGAGCCATGCCACCGTACGAGACCTCGGCAGCACCAGCGATCAGTTTGACGCGTTCATTTGGGGTAAACACAACAGCGTACGGAAGAAATTTAACGGAGTCATCGTTGTCGTCGTCGGTTTATCATAACAACAGCACCACAGTTACGGATACGTTTAAAACTAGTTTCGAAAGATCGCCAGCCACAACAACAACGACATCTAAGAGTTGTGATAGTACAACAACAACGACGTATAATTTAACACCCAATAAATGTTTGGCAGAATTGGAACGTTTATATGCGGAATTTCGGGCCAGTGAAAGTTTAAGAGAGAAGCGTCTGCGCGAATTGGAATCTCGAAAGACAAACGGAGACGACGGGGGCGTCGCTACCGGTGACAATAACGACGCATGCGAAACCACAGCGGGACAACGGTTATCGTCGGTCGTCGATACTAACGAAAATAACGCAAATATGCGTCTCAATGTGCCCGCCTCCACAAACTCCTCGCCCGGTGGCGCTGTGGAGGAGGCGATCAAATCAAGTGATACCACCAAAATTAATCCAAGTACCAGCAGTGTATTCCTAACAACAACAAATAGTGTTACAGCTTTAACGAATCCGTGTCAGCGTACACCGAGTCTAACTATACAAGTGAATCAGAATACAAATACAAGTTCAAATATCTCCAATAAGAATACGAAAAATAATAACAACAACCACAACAATAATAATAATAGTAGTAGTGTAGGTGAAATTATCCTAAATCAGGCCATAGTGAATGCAACAACGGCCACAGCAGCCAGCAACAACAACAAAAATGGTGTTAGTGTGATAAATTGTAATTATGTAAATAATAACAACAACAAAAGCAACAACAACAAAAGTATTACAAATCTTTGCGATAGTGCAACGAATACGCAAACGCCTACAAGCAGCAGCATCGGCAACAGTAGTTCTAGTAGTGATAGTTGTAGTCCCTCAAAAAAGAATACAACAAAAATAAGTGATACCCAAACAACAACAAAAGCTAGTGTTAATAATTCTCAAAATAGTTCAGTGCCTAATTTGTTGAAAAATAATGAAAATCAGAATAATAATACCAATCATAATTCCGAAAATCCCCTTACAACGGGCAGTGTTAATGTCATTCAAGTCAATGGTACCAATATCACCGCACCGCCATCACGCACCTTTACCTCAACCGAATGTCAAACGGATGATGTTGCCGGTGTACAGTTGAGATCACCTCGTACCCAATGTAATGCCACACAATCGGGCAACCCCTCATCCACTATAACCAACAGTCGTGATCGTGATCAACGTCGTCGTGAAAGACGTGAACGACGTCATTTGCATCACACCGCCTCAATGATGGTGGCACCCACCCACTCCCATCATACCGGACGCCATAACCATTTGGATCGTCATTCAATGCCCGCCCCACCATTACCACCCATTCTACATCCACCACATATGCATCCGGGATTAACAAATCATCATCCACATCCCCATAATGTTGCCATGATGAGACCTATGCTGCCTGATATATTACATAATCATTTTCCGCCACCATATAGTGCTCTGCCGTCACAGGCATCGGGAGCGTTACCGCCTGCAATGGGTGGCGTCAGTGCCAGTATGTCAAATCATCCAAACGGCCCGGCTTTAACACAATTTGCCCATGGTTGTCCGCCACCACCACCACCCCCGGGGGTGACAATATTGGGTCCTCCACCACCGCCACCACCAGCCGGTACAACAATGTTGACATCGGTTATATCGACGGTGCCAATACCGGGAGCTACACCCATCGTTAATGATGGCCGATTTTCACTACCATTGCCGATAATAAGAAGGTAAATGGAGCTAAAATGATAACAGAAAAATTAAGTGGGCGGTAGTCAATATCAATAGTTAAACGATTTTGAAACTGAGCTGAGCAAAACATTGGGATTTTCAGTATTAATTAATTATGGCCTCCTTCACAATGTGGAATTGGTTAATATATCTCCGTTCCAGAATCTACTGTTTTTGCTAATATTATATATGTTGTGCATGCCCATTATAAGGATATAGAATATTTGTTTAACATTAAACTAAGATTAAATTTAGCTCGACCAATTAGGGCCAATGACGAATTTCATTAAAATTAGTGAAAATCGTTTCAGAACAAACAAAATTCCCGTACTATGTCTGTATATTTGTGATGTCTAATATTCATATTTTTTGTTCGTCTTTCGGATAAAACTGGCAATGTGTTTCGATCCCTTTGGGTTCGATCTGCCAAATGAACTGTGTCATTCAATTAGTTCCATAGTTCTTTTTAGAGCAATAGTTAATTTTTAAACATCAGTTAGTTCGGGTTATGACCGGATAAATCTATATTTACATTTGGATCAAAAGGAACTAGGAGAACGAGAACAAAACTCAACGACTGGAGCGAAAAGAACTACATGAACGAATGAAACGGACCGAACGTTGCCTCTACGGCTGGAGCATAAGAAACTAGATGAACAAAAGAATCGTTACTAGTGCCGATCTTCCTTTTGCGAAACAGTTCTATTGTACTAGATCGTTCCGAAACGAACTGAATTTAGCAAAAATGAACGAATGAAGCAAAAGAAACTAGTTCTAGTTCGTTTCGGATAGACCCAATTCTTCTTTCGTCTCTAATGTTACTCTGTACATTTAGTTGCCCTACAAGTCCATACGCCTATATCGAATCTTGTCTCCCCGTAACAGTTTTTCCACTCCGATTGGAGTTTGAACGCTTTAACAGCATCATCTTAGTGAATTAAAGAAACGAACTTAGAACCGATCACACCTTTGCGGAATAATTTCATTGGACTAACTCGTTCCGAAAGGACCTGAGTCAACATTCGGCTCTAAAGCTACTCTGTACATATAGATCCCCTACAAGTCCGTACGTATGTATCGAATCCTTCCTTCACTGTAAAGCTACTCTGTACATTTAGATATCCCACAACTGCATATGCCTGTATGGAATCTTTTGCAATGCGAACTACTTTTTGCACTTGGGTAGATACACCTCCAAAACATGAATTTTGAACGCTTTAACAGTATCCTCTTAGTAAACGAAGAACCTAGAACCGTTCGTTCCTTTTGCGGAATAGTTACTTTGAACTAGTTCCCATTTTTTATTATGTGTAGGGATACAAAGAAGTCATATAGTGCCAAGTCAGGGGTACCCGGCAGATGACCCATCCTATATCTGAGTGCTCCAATGTTGCATATGATGCACAATGATTCGTCTTATCTTGTGCGTTTTACGAATTTCTACGAAGACTTTAAGTGGCACACCAAGCGATCAAGCGGAACTGTGTTCCTTCAGAGTGAGTCTTTCGCGAACAACATGAGTTATATTTGGCAGGCCTTCGAAGACCCACGGGGTAGATTGCAGTTTTGTTTTGACTTCAAACAGATAGAACCACGATTCGTCACTTGTGACGGTCTTATAAACATCTTCTGAATTGTCGCGATCTTATTTTTTATACCAACCTTGTAAAGCATCAGCATCTTGCATGGGTGATTGTTGTTGTTTTGGTATCTTCCAATGTTGGGCTATTTTGTCTTAGTTCTTGGGTAAGGTAATTATTCGTCGACAGGTGTTTCTTGATCGACCTCGATTTCCTGATCCTTGAGGGATTCTGGTTATGAAATTGAATTTTGTTAAACTTGTTGCCAATCCATCTCAATTTCCACGTTGTAATCTGATATTGTATGGATACATAGTTCGTTAGGTTCCACAGCTCTACGTTATGAATAGTATCCGGCCAGAATAATCTGCAATATTCGAAATATTTTTTATTTGAATGACCTTTAATTTAAACAAGTATATATACCATCGCTGCTAGGAGAAAAAGGAATAGTAGCTTCAGACACTCAGGTCCAAAAAATGAGCTTATAACTTAAACATACAAGATATGACGCTTGGCAGTTGAAAATCATGCCGGAAATCCTCAAAATATCAAAAATTGGGTGTACTTTTATATCGTAGACCGAAATCAATAGCTTTGGAACGAAGATTTGCCAGCCAATGAGAATCCAAAGGATTAAATTACAGTCAATATGGTTTAAAAATTTTGCCGATAATAAAGAATAACGGGAAGTAGCGATATATGGGATCTACACGGAAAAAGGTCTAATGTTGATAATTCTTGGTAGGAAGATTTTCTATCTAATAAAATCCCAAAATATAAAATTACAGTCACTTGACCAAACTTTAAAATTTGGAAGGTAATGCTATATAGGAGCCACCCTAAAAATTGGACCAATACTGAAAATTTTTGGAAGTAAAGATTTGCTACCCAATCAGAAACCTGAATGCCACATTACATTCAATTTGGTTAAAAGTGTCCAAAACCGATGTTTGTGTGCGGAATCCAATATTAAAAGTTCGGTATGATAAGAAATAGTTAATTACTTGACTGTATTTTCTTTGTGACTTTTTCCACATCATTTCAATTTTCAATTACAAAGGATGCAGTGGCATGCCTTTCTCTCAACACACACACACATTGTCATCTTCCTACGCCATTAAACACCATTTTTGAATCATCAAATCTAAGGACATTTTTTAAAACTTAAACATTTCCCTTCACATTAATGAGAATTGTCACATAACTTAAATTTACGATTCGAGGCAATAAACTCACAGTTTTAAACGTTAAAATAAAAATGTCTGAAGCTAAGAATACGACAAACATAAAATCTCAGAATTCAAGAATTAATGATGCCCTGTTTGATGGCATGATGGACCTTTAGGCATGACATATTTTCCTTAAGCATTACACTTGAAATGTGACTATTAAAAATCAATTGATATCATTTTGACGTCGCTTCCTTTTGTCTTTTGTGTTTTGCTGAAAACTAACACTTAGTCATGATTTTATTGTTGAACCGAACAACAGAATGCGCTTCGGCGAAGGAAGCCCATGTATAATGACGGAACTGCTAATTACTTTTAGTGCCTTTATGTTAGTGCCATACATGGAAGTGGACATGAAAAGATTTATGTCCAGACATACATAAATGCTTACCGACATTACTTGGCGTTTTCTGTTCATTGTTGTAGTTGTTGTTGTTTTACAAATCAAAGGCATGCCAACTGCAGACAGACGAATGCACAAACACACACCTCTATTTTATGATTAAGATTAATTACATTTCTAGACCAGATTTTCATTTGGTGAATTGGTGGTGGTGGTGTGATGGTGATGGCTTCTTCTTCCACATCACTACCATTGTCAAAATTGGAATTTTATATATTTTTAATAAAACAACAGAAAAGCCCAAAGTTTTCTCTTAACTTCATTAAGTTCGAAAAAAACCGACAACAAAATCAGCGGCAACAACCCCTTTATTAGCAATTTAGAAAGGAGTAAGGTAACATGGATGCTGTTTGCTATGGCTGCCGTGCAAATGGCAAACGTCAAGCAGCTAATCCAACCTGTAACCATTTCATATTCGCCTCACAACAACAATAATGGTATAAAGAAGCTGAAGAAGTCAAACCTATAAAAATTAATGTTAAAAGAAAGTTTTTCTCTGATTTTTGCTGTTGTTGTTGTTAACAACAATAGCAATAGCTAACTGACACCGCCACCACCATCCACCACAACTATAACAAGCTAACGACTTTTGAAGTTAAGCTATGAAGCAGTGAAGAAAGAAAAAAAATAAGCCTGAAATTATTTTTTGTTTTCTTGAACTCTGTGAAGATATACCCAGACAGGACAGAAATAAGAAATGGTAGATGGTTGTATGAAATCGTTAGACTGACAGGAGGGTTAACATTTGGTACGTAGTTACAAACATTTATACATAAAAACCTACCTTAGAGTTTAATACAGCAGCACAGTTTTATATTTGAAATCAACGCTCATCCCATTATTTCAATTAATGATTGTGGTGGCGGACGCACACAGTGGTTCGTTGGGGAGCTCAAGGGGGAAAGATAGTTATGAGACCATTTCTATTACTCCTCAGCTTCTGAAAATTTTTTCTATAGACAAAAAATTGTTCTTCAACTTGTGAGGAATTTTTCGGCAGAAAAACTTTTTCTCTTCTTTAGATGTTTTCTATATAAAAAATGCTCTTCCGTTTCTGAGGACAATTATAGACAAAAACGTGTCCTGAGCATTTAATATTTATTTTCTTATAATTTTTTCTATGCAAAAAAACAAAAAAAATGATTTAAAGGAGATGGCACTCCGCATCTTCTTCAAACCACTGTGCGTTATTACTTAGCGTAGTGTTAATGTTTCTGTGGACGTTGATGGCGAAAATCTGTTTCCTTGGCAGCAATATGAGTATGTATGTCGGTATGTTCAAACATCCGTCTGCTCTATTATACCTCCATCCGTTTGGCGGTCCTTACAGCATCTTAACGATGAGTGGGTATCATTAACAACAAAAAATGAAAATATTTAAACAGCTTTCATCCCGGATTTCTTTCACTTCGAAGTAACAAATCATTGAATGGGATGTTCATCCGTCTAATACTCCTCCTTCAAACAAACCTCAAGATCATCAGCAAATAATAACAGCAACAACAAAATTTCAAAAATATAGTTTACTTAGCTTTGTTTAAAGTGATTAAAATGGTTTAACCAACTGACATTTAGATGCGGGTTTAGCAGCAAATAAACAATCGCAGAAACCAACAACAACAGCAAGCGTAATAACCCCTTTAAGCTTTTAAAACAAAATTCGATCATTAAAAACCAGAAAAAATATTGAAAAAAAAACAAATATTTTAATCTATGGAACACACCTCTGTACCGGATTTCATATTTTTTGAAAGTTGTTGAAAAATATCCAAATAACCACACATCGAAAATAGGAGCCTCTCAGAAGGCAATGTCATAATGATCAATAAATTTCACACTTCTTTTTTTTTGTTAAATTTTTTTAGAACAGCAGAAGAAACGATACAAAACTCAGGAGTTTAAAAAAAATTATAAAAAAAGCAATAAATTTCACACTTCTTTTTTTTTGTTAAATTTTCTTTAAAGAGGAAACTATCCTCTAAAGCTGAAGACGGATTTTTTGTATAGAACAGCATCCTACGAATATGAGGACTATTTTTTAATACAAAAGTAATCCTCAGTAGTTTTAAACAAATTGTTAAAAATTGAGGTACTTTCTCCTTCGATAGAAAGATTCTTTTACCTGGGGATCAAAGAAAAAATCCGTGAAAACTGAGGCTCAAATATTTTTACTAAAAAACCCCTCTGAACCTGGGAACCTAAATTTTCTATTGAATACATATTTCTTCTCAGTAACTTAAGACTCCAAGGAAGCTGCGAACCAATCCTCAAAAGTTGAGGATCTGATGACCAAATTATTTTAGAGAAAAAAACATTTGCTGAGGACCAAATATTCTATAAAAAAATCCTCAAAAGATGAGGACCAAAAATGTTTGCTATAGAAAAAAAAGTACTCAAAAGGCATTGTACCAATATTTAAAAAAAAACCCTGAGTTCCCTTTTTTTATATAAAAAATCCTCTATATAAAAAATATTAAGAAGCTGAGAAAAAAATTGTTTCTATAAAAAAAATCTCAGCAGCTGAGGAACAAATTTCTCTCAGAATTCTCAGAAGCTGAGGATCTGTTGACCAATTTTTTAGAGAAAAAAAACCCGGAAGCTGAGAAACAATTTTTTTCCTTTGAAATTGGGGACAAATTTTTTTTATAAAAAAATATATATTTGGTGAGGAACCTTAGAACATGATGACCAAAATTGTTTTCTATAGAAAAAATACTCGAAAGTTGAGTTGAAAACTTGTCAAAAGCATAGTACACTTTTTTAATATTATGTTCGCATTTAAAAAAATCCTCACCGGCTGAGTACCAATTTTAGATACAAAAAATGTTTAGATACTAAGGAAGATTTTTTTATAGAAAAAACTATCAGAATCAGAGGACATGTTTTTTTATAGAAAAAAAATTCAGCATCTGGGGACCATTTTTTATATATAAAAACTTTGCAAATACTGAGCACCAATTTTTTTTATAAAACAGAGAAAATATTAAAGAGCCGATAGTCATTTTTTTTATTTCAGAGAAAAATCTCTGAAGCTAAAGACCTACTTTTTTCCTTAAAACATTTTTTAATATAGTCTAAGGACAAGATTTCCTCAGAATCTTCAGAAGCTGGGGACCAATATTTTTCTATCGAAAAAAATCCTCAGGAGCTGATGACCAATTTGTTTTCTACAGAAAACAATCCTCACAAGCTGAGGACCAATTTTTTTCTAGAGAATACTAAGGAAGATTTTTTATAGAAAAAACCATCTGAATCAGAGGACAACTTTTTTCTATAGAAATTCCAGCATCTGGGGACCATTTTTTATATATAAAAAGTTTGCAAAAACTGAGTACCAATTTTTTTTATAAAACAGAAAAAATATTAAAGAGCCGATAGTCATTTTTTTATTTCAGAAAAAATCTCGGAAGCTAAGGACCTACTTTTTCCATAAAACATTTTTTGATATAGACGACCAAATTTCGTCAGAATCCTCAGAAGCTGGGGACCAATATTTTTCTATCTAAAAAATTCTCATGAGCTGATGACCAAATTGTTTTTTACAGATGACCAATTTTTTTCTAGAGAATGCAATCCTCGCAAGCAGAGGACCAATTTTTTTCGTTTAAAAATGCTGGTGGTTAGAATCAAAAATTGTTTCTCTACAAAAAATCCTCAGAAGGTGAGGGCCATTTTTTTCTATGGGAAAAAAATTTCAATAGTTGAGTACCATTTTTTCTATAGAAAAAATCTCAGAACCTGAGGACCCATTTTTTGTAGAAAAAAAAATTCTCTGATGCCCAGTACAATTTTTTTTCTATGCAAAAAATCCTCAGATGCAGATGTTCAATTTTTCTTCTAAAGAAAAAATCCTCAATAGGTGAAGGCAAATATTTTTCTATAGAAAAAAACCTCACAAGTTGAGGAACTACTTTTTTCTGAAGAAAAGTTGAGGAACAACTTTTTCTGTGGAAAAAAAATCTTCAGAATCCTCTGTTTCTAAAATTTTTTTTCTACAGAATTTCTTATAACTTACGCACCAGTTTCTCAGCTCTTGACAGACTTCTATAGAGAAAAGTCCTAGAACCTGGTTATAATATTTTTTAATAAAGTCCTTAAAAAAGATCAGCACCAATTGTTTCAAAAATTCTCACAAATTGAGCTCCACATTTTTTCTAAAAGAAAAAAAATCCTCAGCAATTAAAGTCCTGGAAAAGATTGGTCCTCTAATTTTAATGCTTTTTTTGATACTAGCATACCTTCTTAAAAATTAAAAAAAAATAAATAAATAAAAATAATAAATAAATAATAATAATAAATAAATAAATAATAATGAAATCTCCATAGTTTTTTTGTCAATTTAATGTTATCCTCTGCTGAATTTTTATAAATATTCATGAAATTTTTTCCAAAATTCTTCTTTGTCTCCTTTTTGTTTTATGTCCCCATAAAAAAGAATGTAAACAGGAAATGCATTTAAGAAATTGCCGATTTTTTTTCTTTTTTCGAAAATAAAATGATAATTAAACCTCAGAATGTTCCTCTCACTCTCTTCCCCTCTACCCCTTGGCTTCTCGATCATTACTTATGGGTTTCAATGTAAAGTGATCGAAAAAAATGAAACAAAATATTTTTTGTTAAGCAGCTTATTGTCGGGCTATTTCTTAACATTGGTTTATTACTAAATTGTTTTGTTGTTTTTCGTGAGGGATAATACGATTTGTTGTCTCTTCTTCTTGTGCCTCTGCTTCCTCCTCCTTCTTCTTCGTCATCTTATTTGAGGAGTAAATGCATTGGTGCGCCGGCGCACCAAAAAGCATTGACTGACAAACAAGCCTGCCTGTTTGCCTGATTTTCGAACAAATTTTTATGAATCTCTGTTAAGTTGTGTGTCGTTTTATTTTGGTTTTGCAAAACAGCCATATTTTTGGTTTCATAAGGCAAACAAAAAATCGAAGGAAAACAACCAACATCGTAATGATGGCTAAAAGCGAGAAAAGAAAAAAATGAACGAAATAAAACAGAAAACCAAAGTTCATTGTAATTGTATAGCAACGTCATGTCAGGGAGTACGTACGGTTATGGCTACGGCTAGCTTAGCTGGTTTGCTACCTAGTCAGCTGTAAAGAAGAAGAAGAAAAAAATCATGGCAACAGCAAAAAAAGAGTTAGTAAGCGTTTGTGGTTATATATTTCAGGCTTGTAGCTGTGCCTTTTTGTGACTGTGTTTCGTGTGTACAGCAATGGGGCGATGTACTGAGGCTGAACCAAACCATCATCAACCGCCAACCGTATGTCTGTCGGTCTCTGCTTCATTTGACTATGGGATAGACCCCCTTATTTGTGTTGCCTCCATTCAACTTTTGCACTGTTGCGGTTGATTTTGGTTGTTGTGGTCGCTGAGGATGATACGATTGTATTTTTTCTCAAATTTTTTGTTTCCAAACCATATATCTGTGGTTTAGATGTTGTTTCGATTTTTTTCTTCTCT